CTACAATGACATGGGAAAATACCCGAACAAAGCTGAATGCCATACATACATACATACATACATATTTATATATTTATTTATTTCATAGATTTTCACGGGTACAAGTATGTAGGTCTAGGTGTGTTCGGGTCTTTTCCCATGTAAGATTAACAGTATCTTGGCGATGTTTCAGCGAGGTCCCACTCGCCATCCTCAGGCTGGTGCTTTCAGCTTCGTGCCAGTGCAAGCAGTGTGTGATCGGAGCTGCTGTCTCTCTCTATATGTACTGGGGGGGGGGCTGGTGTGCTAGGCTGGTTGGCTGCGCTGCTGCCTCTTGATTGGTTGATGGAGTTGATGTTGGTATAATGGGCTGTGTGATGGCCTTGTGAGTTTTGTTGTGGAGATATCCTGGATCTTGTGCTGTAATCTCCTGGGTTGTTTGTTTTGTAGTGATTTTTTTTCCATTAGCCTCCCGTGTTTTAACAGCTTGGGTAATGGGTTGTGTGATGGGCTTGCGAGTTCTTTTGTTGTGGTATTCTGGGTCCTGTGTTGTAATCTCCTGGGTCATTTGGCAGCAGCGCAGCCAACCAGCCCAGCATACCAGCCCCCCCGCACCAGTATTTATAGAGAGACCGCAGCTCTGATCACACTGCTTGCACTGGCACGAAGCTGAAAGCACCAGCCTGAGGATGGCGAGTGGGACCTCACCGAAACGTCACCAAGACACGGGAAAAGACCCGAACACACCTAGCCCTACATATAGATAGATAGATAGATAATTCTGTGGGAATTCAAGTGGGACAGTTGTGTTTGCATCTAGCTGGCTACTTGCAGCTGTGAGATATTCCTATTAGTTTCCATAACACTACCCCCATTCATCTTGTTGCTTTAAATCTTCCAATTGCCACATCTTCGGCAACTAATACCATAAGTTATTGGTGTGAAGCACAGAGAAATTACTTTCTGACTTTTAGCCTAAATTTATTATCAATGAATTTTTATTGGATGGCTTTGAGAGGATATTCATTTTCTTAGTATACTTTGCAATACTTTGATGAACTACAGAAAAAGAAAACAATTTTTACCATTTACTTACTTATCAGAATTATCAGCTTCAGAAGATGAACTTTCTTTTCCAGTATCTTTGCTATCTGGTAAATACAGACACTTATTATAAATATATGCATGAATTTACCAGGTTTTGAATTTAAACTTTAAAGTAATGCTAAATATAATCCTCATTCCAGCTAGAGAAAACCATAGGTGAAAGTTAAGAACATTTATTTGATAAAATAAAAATTTGACCTTTCTTTAAAAGATCAAAAGGTAAATGGTTCTTTCCCCATCCACTGTTTTCATAACTCTAAATGATAGATAAGGCTGAAAAATTGACCCAAACTCATCCAGCAAGTTTCATGATTCATGATTTGATTCTGGATATCCCCAGTCTTAGTTCAACTTCATCTATTTCCAAGGAAATCTCTGTGGGATCAGTTACTGCTTTGACTGAGACTTAAAATGGGACTTAAAAATCATGACACATCACATGGATTTGGGCCAAACAATTTTCTTTCACAAACTATAAAGTTACTAAAGGAATTATTCCATTAGTCACTCTCTCTTAGATCACCTTACCTCACAGGGTTGTTGTTATGGGGAAAATAAAAGAAAAAAGGAGTATTAAGTATGTTCACTGCCTTCAGTTATTTATAAAAATAATAAAGACAAGGAGAAAAAAAAAGTTTAAACTCTGTAGATGTTAACGTTAAAAAGCAGCATTTCATAAATTGATTCAACTCCTACCCTCAAAACGACGCTATAGAGCACTGCACATCAGAATAACTAGACACAATAACAGTTTTTCCCCGAACACCATTACTCTGCTAAACAAATAATTCCCCCAACAATGTCAAAGTATTTACTAAGCCTGTATTACTATTCATCTTCTCATCGTTCCTATCACCCATCTTCTCCGACTTATGACTATATGACTATAACATTGTTGCTTGTATCCTTATGATTTATATTGATTGTTTCCTAGTATGATTTGATTGCTTATTTGTACCCTATGACTATCATTAAGTGTTGTACCTTATGATTCTTGATGAATGTATCTTTTCTGTTTATGTGCACTGAGAGCATTTGCACCAAAGACAAATTCCTGTGTATCCAATCACATTTGGCCAATAAAGAAATCTATCTATCTATCTATCTATCTATCTATCTATCTATCTATCTATCTATCTATCTACCTACCTACCTACCTACCTACCTACCTACCTACCTACCTACCTTTAATTTATGCAAGTCTCCCAATGTTCTGCTATTTAAATAAAGAATTTGGAGGGAATTTTCCAAGGATGAAGCATTATCACTCAATCTACCATTTTTACAATAACAAAATTGGAATAGGAATGTGTGGCATATGCACAAATATGGGCTGCTTTTTTTAAAAAAATATAAGCATCTGCTCATCCTATGTTCCTTCCTTTAAAAATCAAATGTAACTTAGACAACATTTAAGTTACTCCACACATGCCACATAGTTGATACATCATGAATAAACTATGTTGGGAAAAAAAATCTGAATTGTTTAGTGATTGCATTTAACTACAGAAACTATACTTTTACAGTAAGATACCACTGAGATCCATTAACCGCATTATGTATCTATGGATGCTGCATGTTGAACATAAAAATTAGGTTTTGAATCACATAAAGTAAAATTCAAATTGGTTTAAACCCACAGGATTAGACGATATAAATACAAGAGATAGGCTTCACATATGAGGTATATATCTTGCTGACAGAAATTATCTCATCTCCCATCCTAACCTCCTTTGAGTCAGGATAATGGAAGAATGAAATGTATGAGTGTGTCTATAGTTTTGACAGCAAAAATTTCTCAGCCATTCCCATGATAACACTGTAGAAGAAAAGCATAATCTTGGAAGTTTGCCTTGGGAAGATATAAAAAGGGAAGGAAATTACCAAGTCAGTGGTTCTGGGCTTGGACCAGGAAGCCATAGATTCAAATCTCCACTCAACCACAGTGCTTATTAGGTGACTGGATCCAGTTTCTTTGGGCCTTGATTTCACTAGTGAGCCAAAGTGCTTTCTGCCCAAATGTTTGCAGGAAACTAAACTAGGATGAAATTGGCTGAGTTGCTTGCTGATTCCTATTCTATCACTGTTACTTACTGTAATTTAAATCAGTGCAATTGCCTGATTCTTTTCTAGGTGTGGGGCAAGAAATCTTACAGATTTTATATATCTCTAAGCTATTCCTGAACAGCCTTGAGACTAAAAGAGTGAGGGAGAGAAACACTTAAAGATGATTTATGTTTCTTCTGCTCAACAGCTGCGGACAACATGAAACACCAACAAATAAGTGTTCCCAGATTATTTATAATGTTTTTATGTTGAAATGAGAGACATGTTCTGCACTGGAGAATATCTTCTGGTCCCGCTGTCCAGTTCTTTCCCCAACCTTTTTCATAGATGATACCAATCACACACATTGCTGTTCCACATCTACTCACCCTTCTAATTTTGAGGGCTCTGAAATTCTTACTCCCCAGAGTTGTTGCTGTGGGATTAAAATCAGAAGGCCCCAAGAACACCACTTTCAGTTCCCATTTTAAAAAAAAAGCAGGGAC